GAAGCACAAGCTGGAATCAGGATTGCTGGGAGAAATATCAATAACCTCAGATATGCAGATGACACCACACCTATGGCAGAAAGCGAAGAACTAAAGAACCTCTTGATGAAAGTGAAAGAGGAGAGTGAAAAAGTTAGCTTAAAACTCAACATTCAGAAAACTAAGATCATGGCAGCTGGTCCCATCAGTTCATGACAAATAGATGGGGAAACAATGGAAACAGTGACAGACTTTATTTTTTTGGGCTCCAAAATCACCGCAGATGGTGACTGCAACCATGGAATTAAAAGATGCTTGCTCCTTGGAAGAAAAGTTATGACCAATATAGACAGCATATTAAAAAGCAGAGACATTACTTTGCCAAAAAGGTCTGTCTAGTCAAAGCTTTGGTTTTTTTCCAGTAGTCGTGTACAGATATGAGAGTTGGAGTATAAAGAAAGCTAAGCACTGAAGAACTGATGCTTTTGAACTGCAGTGTTGGAGAAGACTATTGAGAGTCCCTTGGACTGCAAGGAGATCCAACCAGTCCATCCTAAAGGAAATCAGTCTGAATATTCATTGGAAGGACTTAACGCTGAAGCTGAAACTCCAATACTTTGGACACCTGACGTTAAGAACTACTGACTCACTGGAAGAAAAGACCCTGATGCTGGAAAAGGTTGAAGATGGGAGGAGAAGGAGACAACAGAGGATGAGATGGTTGGAGGGCATCAGCTACTCAATGGACATTAGTTTGAGTAAACTCTGGGAGTTGGTGATGGACAGGGAGGCCTGGCGTGCTGCAGTCCATGGGGTCACAAAGAGTCAGACACGACTGAGCAACTGAACTGAACTGAGAGGCTGAGAGAGTAGCAGGGTATACACTGAAAATGAGAGAAAATGACTAGCAGATAAGGAAAAAACAGATTTCAGATGAGGACAGAGAGAGAGGCAGAGAGACAGAATCTGTTTGAGATAGGTTTTCAGTTAGAAATTGCAGTAGGACTAAACTGCATCAAATGATTATGTGTGGGGCTTTCTGATCGCTCAGCAGGTAAAGAATCCACCTGCAAAAAGGAGACACAATAGACAGTGGTTTGATTCCTGGGTTGGGAAGATCCCGCGGAAAAGGAAATGGTAATCTACTCCAGTATTCTCACCTAGAAAATTCCATGGACGAAGGAGCCTGACAGGCTACAGTCCATGGGATGGCAAAGAGTCAGATGCAACTGAGGATACGGCACACAAAGATTACATGCAACCTAGCAAAGAGTGGAAACCTGAAGTTATCAAAGATATGGTTAAGACTGCAAAATATCCCTATGGAGAGCAGAAGGAAACAAGGGAAATGAAAATAATGGATGTGAAAAATTACAATGAAATCTGCAGGAGGCGGGGGGAGTTCACACTGGATCTGTATTTTTCATGCTGCTGTGTGACTGTCATCTCTCTGTATAGCACCATGTTTACTATTAGCAATAATCATTTACCAAGTGTCTTTGTGGACTATGAGGTTTACAAATAAATACCCTGTGTTTCCTTCAGAGTATTAAATCCCAGGTTATGCATAAAGGAATTTTTCTGTAAGGCAAGGTGTCAGTGATAGATTTGGAATTATTTTCTTTAATGGCATGGTTATATACAACTATGGTTTTAAGGCAAAAATATTAAGAAACATTATATTCTGTCAGGAAAATGTATTCAACCTCAATGCCTAGCACATATTTCTGTTCCCAAGGATAATTTTTAGTTTTCTTTTGCATAAAAAAAAAGGCTTTAAAAAAATTTTAATGCTATTTTCTCAATATCGAATTTAAGTACAGAAAAGTAGAAAGAAAGGAAAACAATTATAATCTCACTACTTAGGGGCAATATACTCTTCAGATGTTTTCATGTGTCTTTGAGTGAACTTTTCATATTGCTGAGATTTCAGTAGCCCTTTACTCTTTCATCCAGGACTTATTGAGAGGTCACCAGAGACCAAATACAGTGCCAGGTACCTAGTATATACATTGGAAAAGAAAACAGATTCTTGCCTTAGACAAGCTTTCGGTCTTATCCACCCAGTTTATTTTCTCTTACTATTTTAATATACATATTTCTTTTTTCTTCCCAACCATATTTGTAGAAAATGTCACTTTCACACCTTTGAGGTGTCGTAGTCTAGGTGAGGCATGCTAGTGCTTTGCAATATTTGGTAGTTTACCATCCTCTTTAGGAGACAAATGACAAGATGTTTATATTTTATATACAGTTGCAGAGTTTTAAATATGAACAAAAACCATCTCACATCTTTCAAACAATTGCCAAAGATGCCTCAGATTCAGCATTTATCCTTGGCTGACAACCATATTGAGACTCTGAATGGGCTGTCCAGTTTACGGCACACGCCACTGGAATCCCTTATGCTCAAGAGGAACCCTTGTGAATTTCACCAAAACTACCGACAACGGTGAGGTCCCAAATGCTTTAAGTCCTCTTTTGTACTTCATTGAATATTTTACTTTTAACCATTGTTCCCATCTTGCTTAAATTTGCTCAGCAGGTATTTAGCTTATCTACTGTGTGTTGAACAATTCATGCTTCTAATCTCAACTAAAGAACTTTGATTTTGTGTGTGTGTGTTTAATTTTTAATATACTCTTCTGTTAGTTAATTTATGATGCTGTGCAAATTTTAGGCTCCTCCTGTAATGGGACTATACATAAACAGATATTTCATTTTAGACTTTCAAATCCCATGCATTTTCTCTCATGATGTTCAACAGATGTCTTTTATAAAATTTCTAAATGAAGGTTCCCATCAAGGCCTAAGTGACCATCTTATAAATTGTTTATTCTCTGGCTTTGTTTTCCTATCTTTGGGCCACAAGGGCACCATTAATTAAACAAATACAAAAAAGTAATTGATTCGATCTACTCTAGTGGTTGAAAGAGCTGGAAACCTGCCAAGAATAAACCATTTTTATTTCTTTGTCAGTATTAGGAACATTCTTAATGATGATAATAATGGAATCTGAACAACCTTGAGCGTGTACCAAGTAATATATTAATAGTAGTAGTGAAAATCACTCTTGCAACCACATGGACTGTGGCCTACCAGGCTCTTCTGTCCATGGGATTCTCCAGGCAAGAATACTGGAGTGGGTTGCTGTTTCTTTCTCCAGAGGATCTTCCTGACCCAGGTATCGAACCCGAGTCTCGTGCATTGCAGGCAGATTCCTTTACCAACTGAGCTATGAGCTATGAGGGAAGCCCAAGTATGAGGAAACCAAGTAATATGCCCCCCTATTTATCTGCAGCTAATTTCCAGCACCACTAGTAGTATGTGTGTGCGCTCAGCTGCTACACTTGTGCCTGAGTCTTTGCGACCCTATGGACTGTAGCCTGTCAGACTCCTTTGTCCATGGGATTCTTGAGGCAAGAAAACTGAAGTGGGTTGCCATGCCCTCCTCCAGGGGATCTTCCTGACCCAGAGACTGAAACCATGTCTCCTGCATTTCCTGCAATGCAAGCAGATTCTTTACCACTGAGCCACCTTGGAAGTCCGCACTATTAGTATACTTATGGAAATTAAAATGGTAGAACAAGGAACTGATTTCTAGACCTATATTTGCCCCCAGATGACCACAAGTCATCTCATCTCTCACTCTGAATCTGTCACACGAAGGGTTAGATCATATCTAGGCTCCATTCTGTTCTGTGATTATAGTCCTTCCTCCACATCTAATTTCTACAAAAGACAGTTCTCTTACCACTTTCCTTTCTCATACTGGCATTTTCCCATAATAGCAACTATATTCTAGAGGCCTGTATAACATCAGACTCTTCAGTCCATGATGTGCAATGAAAATTGTCAAAATAAAAATTTTAATCTCTGTTGTTACTACATAAATCTTATTACTGCAATTGTTTTCCCTCTGACTATAGTCTGAAAGCAAAATTTCATATTCTGTGACAATAAATTCTCAAATTGATACTAAATAAGCAAAATCTAGCAGCACAGTTGCTTTAATATTGAACTAATATTTAACCAAAATAATGTTTTGAAGCTTAAAATTAATTCTATTTCCTACAGTCAGAGGAGTTTTAGTTAGACATTTCAACATCAATCATAAAATAGCACATGTCTGTCTTAAACATAATTTATTAGTATTATATTTCAGTTTGGTTAATTAATATGTGGGATTTTAGAAAACACTTTGGTTCCAACTCAGTCACTTGCCTCTTTTCAAAGAATGCCTTATAACAATAGTGTTAGATTAACTGTCTGAAATCTGACATGCCCTGAGGTCTCACTATAAATCTGTCTTCAAAATTCATAAGGTGGTATAGAATAATGTGGAAATGAAGGATATAATGAGGTTATTCTATTTTTTTAGTATTAATTCTTCTGGATTGAGTCCAAGCTGCATACATACTGACAATCAGACTACAAAAAGCCAGGTTGTATTGACCAAGGTAGTGAAGGGTTGCTTTAAACAGAAAGATGTGGTCATTTTAAAGCATGAAAGAAGGATTTAAGTATTCACTCCTACTGAAGCACTAAGCCGAAGTCCCAAGTTCATCCAAATTTGGGTTTAATTATCTAGCCAGAAATCCACATGAGGATTACAGCAGCATTCATTTTGTCACTGGATACCTTTGTGTTGAGGATTTAGGCCAGACTTTCAGTGACCCTTTACATCATGGTCAGAATACTTAAGTATAAGCTTTTCTTGATCACTGACACCTAGAATTGTGACTGTCTTCCCTTCCTCCTTTGTTTCAGATCCTCCAATAAGAAGACAGCACAGTTCAAAAGAGAAAGGACTTAATGATAGAGCTAATGGTGTAAGTCCCAGGAGATAGAGGGCAGCCCACTTCTTGGGACACCCACAGGCAATTCTTTTACCATTCTTCAGAAGCTAGGGTTATCTTAGTTCACCAATAGTTTGACTGTAAAAAAAGAAAGGGGGGGAGGGGGGGGAACTAGGAGTTCCTGCCAAGTCTGAAAACTGGAGCCAGAAGGCAGATTTTAATCTTTACTCCATCACCTATAGGCTTTATGATCTTGGATAAGTTACTTAAAATAGGGGGTAAAAACTAACTTGACAGGAGTGTTGTGAGGTTGAGATAATGTGCACAAAGCATTTAGAGCTAAGAAAATTATGCAGCCAATGGGAGCATTCCAGGAGGTTGGCACCATCATTAGTTGACATGGCTTGTCTCCTGAGAGGTTCAGCATCTTTCATCCTGGGCCAATGTCACTGCCATCCATTTCTTCTGGCCTGAGCCACCAGAACTCCCCAATCAGGAAAGCTATCCACTCTAAAGAAAACGCTGCTTTATAAAGCTACTAGGCATATGGCTACTGTTTAACTGGGTTGACATGAAAGACCACCTCCTGAAGCTGGAAGTGACTGTCTAAATTTGAAATGTGAGCTTCTCTGTCAAGAGAAAATAACTCAGCCCAAAATTATTTCCCACCCCCTCTTATAACTTTCAGCCAGAATTCTTCCTTAACTATCACTAGACAACTCGGACTTGCTTTACTTTAAAAAACAGCTTCCAATTTTATAATGTGTACATATCTCATGATCTCATTCTTTCTCTCATGGTTAGATAGCTAAATCTACTCATTGATTTTTTTTTTCTTTATAGGACATTGTAAAAACTGGAATGACGCTCTCTTATGAAAACAGAGTGTATGCAGTTTCACTCCTCTGCTTAATACTTAGAATCTGCTGAATGATCTAGTAGCTTCCAGAGAGGCAAGCTATGACAGGGCCATCAGCTCAATGAACACGAATTGCATTTTAACTTAATGTCATTGCTAAGATAAGGAAAACAGAATAAAGTGATAGCCACTCATCTTTAACAATAGGCAAAGTCCACTCATTTATATAGAGTAAGTGAAATACAATTCATTTGTTCTGTACAGTTACTTTTTTTTCTTTAATTTTTGCTTTAGAGTGTTCTCCTGTTTGCCAAACTTAAAAATGCTGGATGGGATCCTGAAGCTACCAGAAGATATTTCACCACCAGANTTTTGATCAGAGAATTTCATAAACATTATTTTAAGACTGCTTTCCCTATGTGCTAATAGGAAAGAACACAATTCACTTTCATTGCTTTCAAAATTTAGAGCAAGGTCAATACCCAGAACAACTTATGACTATATTTTTTTATTTATAAAGATCAATGGAGTTGCAGAATTAAGGTTTTCCTAAGATGGTTTATTGATTATCTAGAGATCCTAGCATGAAATAAATAACATGCTTTCTGAATCATTCTGCCAAGTAAATTCTGCTTGTAAAATTATATAACAAAGATTCTAACAAGACCAAGAAACAGGTCCTTCCCTCAAGGATCTTATGAATGATGGAAGATTGCACACAAAGAGGAACTTAAATTCAAAGAACTGTGTTATGAATAGCTATTATATGAGTAAGTGAAAGGAAGAGATTTCATTTTAAATTACAGGAAGCCATCTGAATGGAGTCTACTATTAAAGAATAGTAGACCTTCCCAGGTAGTAGCAGGTTCTTCCAGTCAGATAACACAACATGAAAAGGGCTACAAAACCTAGAAATTGTATTTAAGTTAGGAATGGGCCTGGCTAGAAAAGTCAGAGAAGTATATTGACAGTGGTTTGAAAAAGAGTAAAATATTGATAAAAATAGCCGTAACTTTTGAATGTCTATTATGCATCAGACATAGGACAGATATTATACATTCATCTTGAAGTCCTCAAAAAACTGTGAGGTTGTGATTATTCTTATTTTATAGGCAGGAGTATCTGACGCTCAGAGGGGTTAAGTAATTTGCTTAAGATTGGTGATAAAGGTAGGTCACTACCACATGGCAAACCCAAGATTCAAACCCTGAACACCTTTCAACACTTTTGCTGCCTCTTCTAAAAATTTGGTTCTAATTTTAAAATTCAAGATGGTACTTTTATATTTCTAGGAACAGCTTCACCTTCCCAAATTCTAGCATCACAAATCCTAGTATTTAATCATAGTCAAGAATTCACTATTCCTTGAATGTATCCTAAACTTTTCTTGTTCAAGTTTTTCCGTTTCTGCAATACTTTTCCCTTGAAAACACCCCTGAGAACACCTTTCTCCTTTCAACACTCACTTTGAATAGTATTTCCTCCAAAAAATCTTCCCTCACCATTTCAATCAGATCTGTTTTCTCTGTAAAAAGTACTTTAAAAGAAATATTGGTCTTATGGCATGTTTTCTCATTGCTGCTTCAAATTGATTTAAAAAGAATTAGACTTTGCCTGCTTTCAAATAAACAGGGACTTTACTCATGAAGTAAATAAGAAAGTGGGACACATTTCTTTTTAGGTGTTTACACATGTAAACTTCTGCCTCTCTAACTCAGTGTGAGAAAATGTTTTCAGTAAAGACCCAGAGAGTAAATATTGTAGGTTTTATTGGCCATATGATCTCTGTACTAAACACTCAACTCTGCCATTTTTAGTGCAAAAGCAACCATAGGCCACATGTAAATGAGTGGATGTGACTGTGTCCCAATAAAACTTTTATTTAAAAAAGTATTCGATAGATCATCATTTACTGACCTCTGCTCTAAATTTTAAGGTCATATGGTGGGTTTTTTAAAGATTTGTTTTTGTTTTTAATAACATGTTTCTGTTTTATGTTTTGGTTTTTGGCTGCTAGGCTTGTGGGATCTTAACTCCCTGACCAGGAATTAAGCTCACACTACCTGCATTGCCGCCAGGGAAGTCCCTCATGTGGTTTATTGCTTTACTCTTTATCAGTATTCACTGCCCTCCCCAGAAAAGGTGTATACTTCCCCCTACTCTTTGAAGTCAGATGTGTCAAGCAAATTGATTTGACCAGTGAAACGCAAATGAGTCTGACGCAAGTCACTTATAGGCAGAAACTTTGAAAATAAGTTTGTGCTTTGTCACACTTTCTTTTCTTGCACTACATTAGCAGGCAAATTTCCAGATAACGGCTTCTCCATCAGTCTTGGTCCTTAGGTGAATATGATGTGAGGCAGAGCTACTGTCCACCTACAAATGATGTACAGCAAGAAAGGGCGGACCCATGTCATCAACCTATAAGATTCCATTTGATGATGCACCATAACCTAGCCTTTCCCAACTAACATACCTCCTCAAATTTCAGTTCAGTTCAGTCGCTCAGTTGTGTCCGACTTTTTGCGACCCCATGGACTGCAGCACTCCAGGCTTCCTTGTCCATCACCAGCTCCCAGAGCTTGCTCAAACTCATGTCCATCGACTTGGTGATGCCATTCAATCATCTCATCCTCTGTCGTCCCCTTCTCCCACCTTCAATCTTTCCCAGTATCAGGGTCTTTTCCAATGAGTTTGTTTTTCCCATCAGATGGCCTAAATATTGGAGTTTCAGCTTCAGCATCAGTCCTTCCAAAGAATATTCAGGACTGATTTCCTTTAGGATGGACTGGTTGGACTCCTTGCAGTCCAAGGGACTCTCAAGAGTCTTCTCCAACACCACAGTTCAAAAGCATCAATTCTTCGGTGCTCAGCTTTCTTTATAGTCCAACTCTCACATCCATACATGACCACTGGAAAAACCATAGCTTTGACTAGATGGACCTTTGTTGGCAAAGTAATGTCTCTGCTTTTTAATATGCTGTCTAGGTTGGTCATAACTTTCCTTCCAAGGAGTAAGCGTCTTTTAATTTCATGGCTGCAATCACCATCTGCAGTGATTTTGGAGCCCCCAAAAATAAAGTCTGACACTGTTTCCACTGTTTCCCCATCTATTTCCCATGAAGTGATGGGACCAGATGCCATGATCTTAGTTTTCTGAATGTTGAGCTTTAAGCCAACTTTTTCACTCTCCTCTTTCACTTTCATCAAGAGGCTCTTTAGTTCTTCTTCACTTTCTGCCATAAGGGTGGTGTCATCTGCATATCTGAGGTTATTGATATTTCTCCCGGCAATCTTGATTCCAGCTTGTGCTTCTTCCAGCCCAGCATTTCTCATGATGTACTCTGCATATAAGTTAAATAAGCAGGGTGACAATATACAGCCTTGACGTACTCCTTTCACGATTTGGAACCAGTCTGTTGTTCCATGTCCAGTTTTAACTGTAGCTTCTTGACTTGCATACAGATTTCTCAGGAGGCAGGTCAGGCGGTCTGGTATTCCCATCTCTTTCAGAATTTTCCACAGTTTAGTGTGATCCACACAGTCAAAGTGTTTGGCATAATCAATAAAGCAGAAGTAGATGTTTTTCTGGAACTCTCTTTCCTTTTCGATGATCCAGCGGAGGTTGGCAATTTGATCTCTGGTTCCACTATCTTTTCTAAAACCAGCTTGAATGTCTGGAAGTTCATGGTTCACATACTGCTGAAGCCTGGCTTGGAGAATTTTGAGAATTACTTTGCTAGCATGTGAAATGAGTCTAACTGTGCGATAATTTGATCATTCTTTGGCATTGCCTTTCTTTGGCATTGGAATAAAAACTGACCTTTTCCAGTCCTGTGGCCACTGCTGAGTTTTCCAGATTTGCTGGCATATTGAGTGCAGCACTTTAACAGCATCATCTTTTAGGATTTGAAATAGCTTAACTGGAATTCCATCACCTTCTCAAATTTAGGGACTGAAACTTTACTTATTCAATGCAATAATGTGTTTAATATTTGGTATTGCCAACCAAAATAGCAGAGTTGACATGTCAAATGTTGAATAAAGGGATAAATGCCAACCATCAGAAACCTTAAATGGGGTGGTGTAACTACCAGGTAGGATACAATTATAATACTTTGGGTGAAATGTATTAAAAAAGATTTAATTAGGGCAATAGTACTGGAAATAGATATAAGTTATGAAGACATGAAAAGCTGGGGAGTTATGACACCAGCAAATTGTTTGATTATTTAAATTACTTTGAATTAAGTTATTATCTGCAGGCAAAAGCAGTCTAATTGTGAGGAAAATCATGGGTTTCATAAGAGGTGCTGGGTTCTAGATAGCTATGAAGAAAAATGGCTAAATGCAATGTAATTAGGGTCTCAAAATATGTGTTACACTCTTTCTAAGAGAAAGCTTGTATTGAATTGAAATCTGATTTTCTGATCTTAAGAGGTACAGGTCCTATGGTTAGTGTGGCCAGAGCAGGTTGACTCGTGTTGGTGATGCTTACCTACACCAGAAGGAACCAAATGGACCAAGGGCAATGGACTAAATAAAAGCTAAATCCCAAATTGAGGCTATCTATACATTGTGGTGGCAGCAGTTCTCATAGCTATCAGCAATGATATTATATGTCTAAGGGTGGTATTGCTATTATTTCAAATAAATCTATTCACTTGACCTGTCTAAAATGATTCCTTGTATATTCTATAATCCCCAGATATCTGAACCACTCACTCCCATAGCCTAAACATACTAGCAGGCATACTTTGTTAGGAAATATGCAGGGATTTTTTAAAAAATCAGCAATAGAGCTATTTTTGTAGGAATTTTGTACATAGGTGCCAAAAATTTCCTGGCCATAGTCTATTTAACTCAACAGAACCATATAAAGTTTCTATTATAACATTTTAGGTACATTCATCCTTCTAACAGTTCTAATATTCAGTTCTTCTTCAAACACAGGGTGATTGGCATAAAAGGATTTCCTAAGACCATTCACTATTTCACATCTCTGTTTGTGTCCCAGTTTCATTCTTTCCCTGAATGAAACACGTGTCGGTTCATGATTATCTTAACGGCTTTAGTTCAAAATAGTGGCAGGAATTATTGTGTAGATATATTGTGTAGATATTATTCACAACTACCACTTCCTGAGAGATGGCACAACTCAAAAAACTCTTTAGAAAATAATTTCAGGGAGAGAAGCTCATTCGTGTACGAAGAAATCTCATGTATCAACTAGTCCAGCTTCTCAACAGCATCCAGCGAATGCTTGGATCAACTCTATATTATCCAGTAAAAGGCTTTCCAGCATACAAATTGAACAAATTGAAGGATTAGAAACATTGAGGAAAACTATTTTTGATTGATCTGAATCT